AAATCAATCAAAAGGTTAAAAGCTGCAGAGGGCTGAGGAGGGCAGCAGCTGCCAGACACAGCTGCAGGCAAACTGTGCACTGCACAAGCTTACTGCCTCCAACACCCTGCTGCAGTTCTGAATGGTAATTTCTTAAGCATCAGAAAGCCTCAGATAATCCCAACAGCCCCAGCTCCAGTGATGGAAATGGAGTTTACCAGTTCGCATCAACTCACAGACTGCCTCAGTGCCTCTAAAGATGTCTTTATGTCCAGAAAAAGGAATCAAGAGCAATAACAGGCTGAAACTTTCATCTTCGTTCACATAAACAACTTCTGTGGAAACACTTCCAGTTCTCCAGTTTTTAAGCACATAAACCATGCAGCAGCTCACAACCAAACTTGCCAATCAATGGTGTGTATAAGCTTCAAGGGCTCCAGGGAAAAACAAGTCTGGTTTTATTTTCTTTGTGCTTCATTAAACTTCAGCATTAACTGGGAGAAAATGCCCCTTTGGATAACATTAGTCAATACAGCCACTACTTGGTGAGGTTTTTTTGGGATTAGCTACGGGCACAGCAAGCAACTGTGAGAGTATAGTTCATATAGAGAACTTGATACGGGTGCACTGAAGAAAGAAAACACTTCAGTCCAGAGATGCCTACAGCCGTGTTCTGGTACCAGCAGGTGCACAGGCCAGTGCTGACATTTGGCTATACATTGCTCAAAGAGATGTTTCAAGATTGCAGCTGCACAGAAGAGAAGAGATAGGGTTTAATCTTCTGCTCAGGGTGGCTGTGGAAAAGCCATTTAGAGCAAGATTCACCCTGCTGAAATGTAACCATCTAAAAGTCAGTGTTTGCTCTGAATTTGGTGCCTGATTTCCTCCCTGTAGAAGGAGGAGAGGGAACAACGCCTCCACAAGAGCCCCCTTCCTGTCACCCCAGTGTGGAAGTTGGACAGAGAGACATTACAGCTTTGAGAAGCAAAATATTCAGACAAACTTGAAACTTTCCACTTTTTAGCTAACTGTACTGTTATAGCTCTAAACGTATTTAAAAACTGCAGTAGTTCACAGCTTGGCCCAGTTTTTAGAGTCCTACTCGTTTGAAACGTACACGAGGCTTTACATGAATTAAATATTTTTATTCCAAACTCCGGTGATATAATACAAAATTATTTCAGTTCAGCCTGACCTTCATGTAGTTCCCTTGCTCTCAAAAAGAATCAACATCCATCTGAAGTCGGGGAAAAGTAAAAAAAGTCCTATACCAAAAGGCTGAAGTTTTAAAGCCTGTGTAAAACTGCTTCAGACTGTGCTACAGTTGTGTGCCCTCGGATGGAACCCAGAACTACTGCAGTGTCTGAAAATCTACAAAAACACCAGAAAGACAAAAAATAGATCAATATGGTACGTAAACGGCCCATTCAATTAAGAAAATAAAAGCTAACAGTGAAGATTCAGGAAATACAAAGGCTAACACTGATTTACTTGGAAATAAAAGCAAAAACTGTTAAAAAATCTTACTTGAGGCAAGAAAACAAACTGCACTTCTTAAAATATAATTTATATAACCATAATTTTAATGACTTTTCAATGAATTTAAATATATTTGGTCCCAAGCCAATAGGTATTAAATGGCTTGTGGGGGAGGTTATCTTGAAAGTATGGAATGGTATTTAAACTCTAATCATTCTTCAAGTACATATGGAATTATCAAAATTTTAATTAACAGGTATAACTTGAGTCCACCAGCCATGTCCAAGGGTCACAGTGATATCATGATAAAGTGCTATTAAACCATCATTGAAAAAAACTATTTAAATAGTGTAGTAAAATCTTGCCTTCATGGAACCAATGGACCATGGCAGAAGTAGTGCCAGCATTTGTCACTACATGATAAAGACTTTTGGTCTAGAATTCATATTTCAGAATTCTTGCGTTAGCTTGAAGATCATATCACCACAGCTGTAAGATCACACAATCACAGAATCATAGAATGGTTAGGGTTGGAAGGGACGTTAAAGATCATCTAGTTCCAACCCCCCTGCCCCAGGCACTTATGCTTTGGTAAACTCAGGCACAGTTTTTATGGCTACACAACACACCATGACTTTAAGACTCCCAGTACACCGTAAAAAAATTCTGCATGTTCACAGAGACAAACCAATTGAGTTGGCTTACCCCCATGTCAAATGTGTTTGATGGGCTAGCCTGAGACTAAATTTGTCAGGGTCCAAAAGGGTATTAAACTAAGTCTCCACAGTTCAAAATATAATGCTTACATAAAACATGAAACAAACATTAAATTCATTTTACATAAAACTCATTAACTCATTTCTCACACAGTCCTTTTTGTCAGATTCTATGTGCATCATTAGATGCAAAATCTGCATTAATCAATCTGTTATGGAAGACAATTTATAAAATGCACTATCCCCCATGGTTATCTACAGGTTAGATGTGATGACCCAGAAGCCCTCTCCCGGCTTTATGGTCCTGAAGAACACTGGTATAACAAGAAGAGCTGAGCACAACAGCTGCCGAGAACAGCATCAGCATCAGCAAAGGCTCCGGCATTTCCCAGCTGAGAAAACAGCATTTCACTACAGGTTGTACAGCAAAGACACAGGCTACTACCAGAGGAAATCAAATATTTGAACAAGCAGAATGATGCATTTCAGTCATGCATGAAGGGAAACTCAGTGAATAAGAATTATACAATGCCACCAGGAACTTGCCCTTAAGTGACACAAAGCAGTTTACTCTGAATGGCACAGAGTCAGCAAACACAGAAGCATAATTATTTTTTTCTCCTGCAGGTGGAGGGAACACAGACGATTTTCCAAGAATCATAAAAGAAAGATTAAAAACCCTAAAAGGAGTAGGTCTGGATTCTTCTGTAGAACAATCCTCTCTAGTTTATTTTTAAAAGACAAAAAGAAACCAAAACAACAAAGCAGATGCACTTTTTCAGTTACAAAATGGTATTCCAATCATTCCAAGGCTGGGAAAGTGAGAGATAAGAGGTTCAAATAATGCAAAATAAAAGACCAGGAATTCACGGGGATGTCTGATGTTCACCACTGCAGTATGAGAATTGCTAATCGCATAACAGAGCTTCTCTACAAAGAGCTCGTCAAGAAACACTGAGATTGTTCAAGTATACAAATCTTTCTGATCAGAAGCAGGGGAAGCTAGTTTATTATTTAAACTTTGCCAGATCTAAGAGCAGGAGCAGCAGCTGATTTTATTTTTTAATGAATATGCCGTGCATTCCTCTTGACCACAGGCTCTGGAAAAAAGGAATAATGAGGAAAAATAGATTGCATGTGATGAAAGGGGAAAAGCATCCTTGGATATCAACTTGACAATCTAAGAAGTCTGTTTTGAACTGCTTTTGAGTCATATAGTGACAGAAGCCCATATGGAAGTAAAACTAGCAAAAAACTTCAGATGAAGACTGGAATTCGCAGCTTGGAGACCAGAAATCAGACTGGCCACGGCAGACTGGGGGCAGCAGGACACCAGACCAAACTTTGGGAAGCTTGATGTCTGAAAAACACAGGCGGATGGATGACTGTGCAACTATAGTTCCCCCTGCACGTACGCAGGCCCTATCTCATCTTACCTTGTGGACCCTTTCTCCCACCAAACACACCCTATGTAGGCATATGCAGACAATACTCTCCTACAATAACATACTCCCTGCAGCCCACAAAGTCAGATGAAGCACATGAGAAGAAAAAACTGGCCTTTCAGATCCCACACTTGGGGGGCCTATGCAATCCAGGAGGCAGCAGGATGAGCAAGTCCACACTGTTATTTTACCAATAGCACTACTGGAACAGACATATCCAGGCATGAAGCTACCTATTCCTATTTCTTTCCTTCTTTATCTACATTTAGCATTGATAGCATGGGGGTTTAGCTCAACTCATACTCCTGCTGAGCAGAAATTGTGGAGGAGGGAGACCAGCAAGTACAGGGTTGACAGTCTGTGTGTTAGAATATCAACTTCATCTAAGTCCAACTGATGTACAGACCAAATTCCAGAACCCCACCAACAGCTCACCCTACTGATTACCAAGATTCAAAGAAGTGATCCCTGGAAACACAACATTGCTTTGTATCCCACAAATCTATTGCAACAGGACGCTACAGTATGCAAGGCATCAGTGTCAAATGTTGCTTGGTGAGATATCTGAACCCAAAGCACCGTGATTAAGCCATATTTGACAGAAGTGTATCCTTGTAATGATGACAGTCAAGTGTGTGCTTCCTCTGACCAGGATTACCTTTGCCAAGGAAATCAGCTGTCACAGTCCAAAGCAGAGACCAAGCACATAGCAACATAAAAGCAGCATAATCAAGTGCAGATCTGAGAATGCACTGGTTTGATGTTATAGATGAATTTTTATTTTTTTTTTTCTTAATATATTTACATGTAGATGAAAGAGAAAAGACCAGAGGAAGGATCATTGTCTGGATCCAGTCCTAGTTAGATGCTCTTCAGAGAGACTTAGATGAAATTGTCTTGAGAACTTATCAAGAACAAGGGGTTGGGAATTAAATTGAGTAGCCACTGTAAAGCAACATATAGGACAGTGAAAGATTTAGGAATGCATCAAGTGGCAATGTTTGCTTAAAAGGCAGACAAAAGTATCAGAAGGCTATCTGCGAATTCACAAAGCTTCATCCTCATTGAATAGGGAGGAACTCATTAAGGCAAAATGAAAAGGAGTGACTTCCTTCTAAGGTATCCAGATATTATATCTTACACTGAAGTTTCATTCTGTGATGATGGTGATCATGCAGGCTCATGGCACATTCTAGATCATTGGCTGATGTGTTGCTTTGGGACGAAAGAAGGAGTTAACAGACAAACTTGCAAAATATTTATACGAAATATGAACATATGTGCTCAGACAAATGGATAAAATAGAAAATCCAGTTTAGACAATATCCAAAATGTCCTGGAGAGATAATGCCTTAGAAAGATTTTAAAATAAAATATTTACCCAGATCCTTAATGAGTGATAATGCTTCCCATGATATAAATGCTCCACCACCGTCATCCATAGCTCCCTGCCCAACGTCCCAGCTGTCCAGATGTCCACTCACCAATACAATCTGGAAAAGCAATTACGAGAAAACATATCTACATGAAAGCACTGAATCAGAAAAGTCAGTTGAGTATTTAAGCATTTTCATGATTTTTGTCATAAATTTGGCTCTTTTTTAGTTTAGAACAGCAGGAAGGAAACATTTCAAATAAAACTAAAACATTTTTCTCTAGTCACTGAATATAAATCTGGAATGATCAAATGCATCCTACTTCTTCAAACCAATGCCCAAATCAAACTAGATATGCCGTGAGAAATGTTTGTTTAAATGAAAGGTTTTTGTCTTGCACATTAACAAAGTGCGTACTTTCCAGAGATAAAGGTCTACTACGTCGCAGAATGGTGAAAACGTCTTCTATATTTTAGCTGCTTAGGCAAATAGGCATGAAATTTGATTAACCTTATATGTGGGTGCGCAGGGAAGAAATACAAACTCAGACTAAGTGTTCCCAGGCAGAGGCTGTTGTTTTATTATACATCTATGGTTCCTGTCACAGGGGACCTCTAATTTATTACTTTATTACCCTGTGTGCTACAACAATGACAAGGTATTTTATAGTTCCATTAGTCATAAGGATATTTTAAATTAAAAATGACATGGTAGCAAGTCCCAGAGGGGTTTTCTGCAAAGAAAGTTTTGTGAATACAGCAGAGTATAGTAGTAATATATATATCCGAAAACACCAACTTTCAGACCTGAACTCTTCAAATCACTTCAAATGTTGACAAGCAGCATCAGACCAATACCAGAAGTGGGACAGTTCCCTAACTGGACCTGAAACTGAAATGCTGGTGGATCTGTGATTGCAGTGGTAAGGCCAAGGAACGACAAAAACTCTCAGGCACTGTGGTAAAATGATGAAATAGCACAAAAACAAGAGCAGGGAGCTGTTGCAGTGCCCCAGAAATCTTTGAAGAATTGGTACCAGCAAACAGTGTCCTTGGGATAGGGTGGAAGTGGAAGTATCCTACCTATGACAGCTCAGCACTGAGGAAAAACTGAAGGAGAGCCTGGAGTATCTGCCTGTGCCCTGCCCAGAACTGGCCATACATGAAGGGATGCTTCCCACTCTCTGGTCAGTTGTTGTCAAACAGGTCTGAGAGATGTGGGATCTAGAAAAAGGTTAAAAAGTACTCATTCTTCCTGCCACATTCTTCTTCCTAAGGGAGGAGGAACTGCTGGCATATCCTCTCAGCTTTCATTCATCACATGACAATTACTCTAGCACTGAAAATGAGAACATAGCAAGTCTTCCCTATTGTCACCCCTGGAGGGTAAGAGCCTATGCTCTCAAGTGTGCAGCTAGCATCACAAGGAATTTGGGGCCCAAGCACAAAGATCCCTATTTTTCTCTTCACAAGTGAGAAATCTTGGTACGCTTTCACTGGTTATTAAAAATAATGGACAAACAGATCATGGCAAGGCAAAATGCATGAAGTGCTCAAACAAACATGTTGTTTCATCCAACCAAATACAAACTCAGGTAACACAACTAAAAGGCCCCTTTGTATTAAACAAAGGCCATGGTAAATTACTAGCCATATCCATTGTATGGATCATATGTCCAACCAGAATGCACCAAACCCCTCTAAATTCAGAAAATACACTATGAAATATTTATAAATGTGTATATTATAAAACCGAGAAGTGTCATGTCTTAGAAGCTGGAAAAGCTTGTGATCAAAATCTCAAGAGCAGCTTGCTCCTTTCCCTCTCAGCTGTTTCAACGCTCTTTTCTGCTTGTCCAGCCTTAACTCAACATGTGTTTGCTTTCCAGCACAGACTGGTTTTTTTGGTAGTAGACAGACTTGCTGCAGCCTTTATTCCAAACCCTCCCTTCCTTCGAAAGTGCTTAAATTTGGACAGCAGGTTCCTCTGTAAGAGCCTCAGATTTACTCAGGAGGTATTCCTGCAATTTAATGTCATGATCCTCGAAGCCCAGCATGAAAGACTGCAAACAGCAAGTTTTCCAGGGATGCTGCCCTACAGTAGATGTACTTGATCTACTGAAGCCCTCTGCTACAATACCAGCATAGCTTGAAATGTAAGAAAAGCCATGCCAGCTTTGGAGGTAGAAACCTCTCTGAAATGAGAGAGGAAAAGAAGTCCTGAGCACTTCTGTGGTACTCCTTGGGTTTTTTTGTTTGCTTATATGGGAGGATGAAGCATACACACACACACACACTTGTAGGTGATGAGGGCAACACTGGAATGAACGCTGCACAGAGTTCATTTAGGCATGTGCACCTCCAATGCAAACTGCATATAGAGAACTGAGCTGAAACACCACCGCACTTTGCAGCCAACTAATGCAGACTCGTTACTGTCTACTCGATAAGGAATTTTCAAAGAGTAAGACTTACTTTTTTAAAGAGCAGGAAAGGCTCTGAGTGAATGCACAGCTGTCTGCCCTGTAAAGGATGGGTATTCCACAACTTCAAAATCACCATCCATGTGATCTGTTTGTTCTTAAAGCAAAAATTGGTTTTAAGAAGACAACTATTCACTCACCTGGGAAACAGAGCTTCAAGCTGAAGTGAATTATTTAGAATGAGTTTGTAAACTCATTTAGAGAGAACCAGGCTTACAATAGAAACAACGCCTTGTCTTTAGCAGTGAAAGAATACCTCACTAATGCTGTTCCCTGGCAGCAATCCCAACATGAGCATTTGAGAAAGAATTACTCCTCATTTCTGTGAAACAACACATATTGCAACTAAGAAGGAAATTCTGAATCAGAACAAGGTGGTGTAATCTCATCTGGGGTTACAGACTCCAATCATAAAGCATCGTTACCAACTCCCAAACATTACACCAAAACAGATCAAGGTTCAAGCGGATTGAGAGTCAGATAATTTTATAGATGAACTTTCACTTAAATTTACTTCAGCTGATGCCAACATCGATTACATAAATACAACCAATGTACTTCTATGTGAAAGCTTTTTAGAACAGTTGTTTTTTTAAACTAATGCTTTTGTAGCAGCTGCTAAAATGAAAGTTTCAGTGATCCTGCTTATAGCTAGCCACAGACATTCTTAAAGTGAGACACAGTCATAAAATAACATAACCACTGTGTTTATCTCAGTCTTTAAGTAGCTATAATGTGTCTGGGTAATGAATGGAAATATTTCTGAGATTTACTCTAAGCCACTGTATTATTTAAAATAATATTATAAAATAATATTATTAGAATTCTCTGTACAGGTGGGCTAACAACAAAGGCATTTAAAGCTATCAAGGCTGTTTGATTATTCTGTTTTCCACATTGCTTTCAAATCTGTTACGTGATGCTCAGGTCCAAATCTACACACAGACTAATCACATTTGTACAAAACATTCCTATAGAAATGTCAGTACATGCCAACAGAATGCAAGCACTGCAAAGCAATGGAAGCAAGTACATGTAAGTATTTGTTTTAAATACACAGAGAAACATCAAGGAACAGTATAGGACAATATACTGCTGTATTTATAGAGCAATACAAATTTGCCAAACTGACACAAAATAAATTTAGAATTAGACAGCTTGCATGCAACATGACAACTAAAAACTCAACTCTTCTGCAGTGACACAGCTAAGAAATGCTACTTTAGACATAGTCCTGAGACAATACCACAGAAGTGGAACTTTGAGAAGCATTTCAAATAGAAGACGAATTATTGTATTTCCTTCTGCAACAGCATTATCACCTCTGTTGCCTTTATTGGGATGCCTTTAAGTAATGCCCAGCATTTCAATCAAGCATACTGAAATAATTTGAAATTTAGATGATATCTTACATATTTATGTGAATATGGATTTTCATATTTTATATTTTAAACCCAAGAAGATTACGAACAGAAACTACCCACTCACATACATTTGCATATGTCATGGAGTTATCCTTTTCTAAGCAGGATGGGTTTTGCTAGTAAAAAATAATCTCCCATTCCATGTGTAGTCAGACATGCCTATTGCATTTGTCATGCAAAAACTTCATACAATGCAGGTGAGTTGCCTTCTGCTTGGTTAGGGGGAATTTTAAGAAAAGTTTATTCTACTTTTAGTTAGTCTTCACAATCTCATTTGCTTCTATAGGGGTACAAGGCAAAGGCTTCTTTCTATGCGACATCAGGGATTACAAACAACAAACATCATTAGGAAAGAACTCTAAGAACATTTTCAACCACAGAATTTAATCTAGAATAACATTTCTATTAAGTTGTGAAAACCAGCATTCAAAGTTATTTCATGTCACTGAGGGAGAGGGCAATGAAACAGTAACGAAACAGTCATTCATCTTTGCCCTTCATGGATGACGAAGACTTCTTGGATTTCATGGATGGAGGTTAGGGTCCACAAAGTAGGACGGAATCTGACTACCAACACAAACTCTTAGAAAAGCTTAGTAGTAACTTTCATTATCCAAACCACTGAAAAGCATTTTTCCTTACATCTTCCTCCAGCAAACAGGAAAGATAAGGAGCACCTTAACTTGCACAGACCACACATAGAGAACGGGATGTCCAAGAACTAAACAGGGTGCTAGAACCAGATCACGTATCTTTAGTGAAGACACATTCAAACTCCAAGTATCTGTATGCCAAAACTTCAAGCTAAAACAGTGAAGTGGTCTAGACTGTAACTTGAGTTCTTTTCAACTGCTCATCCATATTTTCAGCCAACTACTGCCAGAAGTTAGACGTTTGCTCAGGAAAAACAGGTCTATAGTGTTCCAGCCCATTTCCCAATTACATGGAAACTCACAAAAAGCACTTCTATTCAAATTTGTGTGATTCCTTTTTCTTCAGTTTGCATCTAAATAGGTCCATCTTATGTGCTAAGTACAAGGTCTTACATTATTTGACTGGATATTTATTCTGCATGCATCCCCTCCGAGTTCATGGCATGTTTGTACAATACTTAACTTACACATATGAACACCACATATTGTGGTTTGATTTATGTTTGAACTGAAATTAGAAGAAAACAGAAGTCATATAAGAATTAGGATCCCCTATTG